GTATTGGCATGTACTTTATATTATAGAGAAGAGGCTCCAACAGCAGAGGTCAGACTGCAATAGTGCCAGCACAAGTGTGCAAATCCAGAGAAGGAAGCCTGGCAAAGCCAGTGCAAAGCCACCAACAACACACTAGCCAGCACAACCATGCAGTGTACCCTGCTGTCTTTTCTTCTAACAGCTAAAGCAGTGGGAATCTGCATCTCACTGAAAAACCTGGAAAAGGCACAAGTTAAGTTGAAGGAAAAAGAGCACATTTGTTTATTTAGAAGTCTAAGCAATCATTATAAACATATGCTCAAATAATCAGCTCCTGTGTAATTACTCATTTGCAAATGCAGTTATTAAGTAAGTAAATTCACTCCTTTTTGAAAATGCAGGTCAAACATTTATCTCTGAGATACATTAAATGCAACACAAGATTGTACCAAGGGTTTATATCAGACTGCAACATTTACAAAAGCCAAGTGTTTAGACCTTTTAGACCTTTTTTAAAGCCTTGACCTTGGGAACAAACAAGGACAGTGTTATTTTAATGTGCATTCAAATTTTAACAACACAGTCACACAGCTCTAGTGGAATCCACATTGAGTTTCCACTGTAGATTGCTCATCATTTCATTATGGTTCATTATGCTGATAACTGTCAGAAAGCATTAGAAGCAGGAGCCTTGAGTAATAGCACTGAAATGGTAATTTAAAAACAATATACTTTCTGGAGGAAATACAGCAGTGCACTAAATTCAATTAGAAGAGGGGAATGTAAAGACAAGTAAGTGATGTTTGCTGTTAGAAGTCAGGCTATTCGGTTTCTTGATAACCTACACTGGAGAAGGTCCTTTTAAAAGCAGGCACTTTTCTCTTGCATCTCACTAAATTTTTTCTCATTATCTCTAAACTTCTCTGGTATAAACTGTCTTAAATGCAACCATTTTTGACATATTTCAGGCCATGACAAAATATCAATCCATCAGTCACTGTTTGGGTGGCATAACGGACTAAATTATTCAGGGTCATTTACTGAGAGAGATTTCAAGCTGGACAGTCTGTGCTGATAATCTCTCTTTTGTAAAGAGCTTCCAATTAAAAATCATTAATAATTTGAATCGAACAGACAATATAAACAATACAAAACTGTCCTTTCCTCACTCATAATGTGAGCATTGTTTGTTAAGAAAGAGTTAGAGAACTCAACTCATTAACGGTGGGGACGCAGGAACAACGCCCATTAATTTGGGTGGGAACTGCACCTGCCTGTGCCAGGCTGCAATTCCCAGCGTATCTCCTTACGGAGAAGGAAATTCAGGGACAAGGACCATGATTGAGACTGATTTGTTTTCCAGCCTCATGGGCTTGTGTGTGGGTAAGGTAATTTATTCTCCATTACATTGCTAACCTTATGGAAGACCCTTCCTCTCAGCAAGTACTGAAATATAATGAAGCTCTAAAGAGTTGCCTTGACGTTACTTTTGCAATGCTTCCAAAGGGGAAAGGCGTCCACGTTTTCCACAGTTTGTGCTCAGGTGTATCAGGTCAATCACACCACCTCCACAACCAAGCACAAAGCTGACAAGCCCACTGTGCTTCAGAGCTGAAAGTCTGAATTCCCAAGTTTGGCCAAAGTGGCAGATCCAGGACGGCTCTGGCCCTCAGTGGTGACAGACACATTGATGATTATTCCCGTGAGGCAAGTTTAAGGGAAAAGATGCATCAGTAAACGTGTATGTCAAAGTGTCTATGCCTGGCCTTCGGCACAGCCCACTCCACTGTCTTACACTGTGCCACATTCTGCTCTTACTAGTACAAGCCTTAAGGCAGACTTAATTATTCACTCTAACAAAGTTGACATAGAGGAGAATACCAGAGTTTGAGTTACTTGTTTAGGAGTCTGATGCTTGGCTTATCTGAGGTTAGACACAGGTTTTACAGCTCAACAAGGTATGGCAATATCAGAGAGCAGCATTATGGAATGATAAAATTCTGGAGCACCTTTCCAACCAGTACATCAAGAAATAGCTGTTGCGTTTCTTACTTACTATGGGAATTGCAAGAAAGGAAAAGGAAAGGGAATTCTCCAATTCCCTTTCATCCACTAGCACAATCAGGCTAATGGAAAGTCCTAACAGTCCTCCTCCCCCAACCTCGAAGGCGGATAAGTGACAGGGCCAGCCAGTTTACTAATAAAGGAAATCAATAGCCAAGGGTCAAAGCTTTACAAAAACACATCTTAAGAAGGCTGAAGTTCTTCATCTTAAGAAGTGTTTAGAAATAATAAAGAAAGGATCAATCCACAGTCCATTCCAGGTGTTCTTTCCAAATTACCCAATGTTACTTTTATTCACCTGGTCTAATAGTTCTCCAAGTGAACAGAAACCTGATTTTACAAGCCAGTGGAGCAGAGTCTATCTTTTTGCTAGAAGAATGGATCTCAGATACTGTGTTTTATTTCTTCATTAGCGTGCCGTCACACTGAGCGATTACTAAATGCAGGCCTGAATGAGAATACCAGAGTTAAAGAGAGCATAATGAACAAAGAAGGTGCCTGATTATTATGGCTGTCAGCACAAGGGAATTGGGTTTGTCACCTGGTTTAACCAACTGGTAAGAACTGATTAGAGTCTGAATCCGCCTGAAAGAACCTTTGATGTTTATGTTCCCTTCTGTCTCCACATCTTGTCAGGAAAGTCAGACAAACGGGGACCTTCTTCCGAAGGATGTCCCTTCAGCAGAGGCCCTCTAAATGCTCTCTGTCACTTGCCTCAGGTGCATGGCCAGAAGGCTACTCAGTGTGGGGAGTATGGCAAAGGAACAGCTCCCCAGAGCCCCCTGCCCCATAGTCCATGGGCCGCCACGCAGGCAGGGCTGCATTTTGTGCCTGAGCAGGTCCCACCATCACAGCACCATTCAGACAGGGCTAAGGTTGACCTCAAAGAGGGGCTATGGGCAGGCACAGCAGGGAGTGAGGGGGCACAGCTGCCCCACCAGCCAGCTCAGAAATAACCCGTGTCATTCTTTACCCTGGATCACAGAAAAAGAAGCCCTTAAACTACAAGGAAAGTCAAAGCTATGAAATGGGACCTCCAGAGACAGGCCTGTTTTCCAAGAGCAGGTATCCGTGGGATTGTGGTGTTGGCTTGCCTCAGCATGCTTAGTCCTCCTAGACTGTTGCAGAGATGAAGGCTGAGGACAGCACCATGGCCTTGCCTTTTCTTCTCTCCTCTTTGTATTTTCAAGTTAAAAGACCAAGATCAGCAACTTCAACTTTGACTGACCTCCAAAGACAGGAATGGGGAAAGGGTGCCTGAAGTAGGCCCAAAACTTGACAAAAAAGGGCTAAGCTTGCAGGGGTACATTTTGCAATACAAGCAAACATACATATCATTTGCTCACTATTTCCCCATCTGGAAATGTTTCGCTCTCTCCTCATACTTCACTAACTGCACATGCCTACTTAATTTCAACCAGTTGATTACTAATTTGATTTCAATTTGATCGGGATATCACTCACTAGGACCAGGGCTTTGAGAAACTTCTGCTGGTATAATATTATTTAGGGCGTACATTCCAAACAATAGTTCTGTTGTTGCAGAAAGACATTTTTCCTATCAAAATGGTCAAGTTTTATATCTCCTAGTGTAAATTATATTATATAAAGCATGTTCTTGCCCACTTAGGCAAGTTTCAAAATACAGCTAGACCTCCATTCCCAGTCAACACTTGGCAAGGGATATATGGACCTCTCTGCTTCCTACTAAGCAAAAGCAGCTGCTTTTGGCTATGCCCTGGCCTGCTCAACCACCATCCAGCAAACTCACTGCTGAAAAGAAGGAGATCATTGGAGAACAGCTGGAATCAAGGGGGGGTTGAGGAAGGGATAAGTGCTGGCTTAGTTATGGACATACTCTGTTTCTGCCTTGTAAGGCAGAAATTAAGATTTAAATAAATGTGAGTCATCTCTCCAAAATTAATTTGCAATATATTAAGATGTTACAAAAGAAATATCTTGGCCGTCCCTCACTCAGAGACACACACACTCTCTACATAAATACATAGCTGAACTCCAAAAATCTGGAAGCATTTCCAATAACTTTCAGGGAAAGCCACACATTGATATCCCCCGGTAAAATACAGCCCTTTCACTTATTGTTTGAAACTGCTCTGCTCCTAAAGAAGTGAAAACCAAAGATGACACAATTAAACACCAGGACATGCCTGGAATCCCAGGTCTTCAGCTGTGTGAGCCATTAACCAACACACAGGACAAGAAGTTGCTCCAGCAACTCTGTGAGTGTGCTCAATGCATCTGTCCTTCTCCCTGCTGAAGGCACTTTGGTAGAACTAAAGCAAATTCCATTTGCTGTACATGATGTATTTATCTACGTAGGATAAAATAAACCATGCCTTGGATGGTTGTTTCATTAAAGTTTAAGATTTACTTCTACAATCCCTTTCAGATGAACACTCATGTTGCTAAGGGTCACCATCTATATTTCAAGTAAATTATATATACAATGATATTATAAATATTACCTATTTACCTCAAGTCATACAATTACAAGAAAACTTTTCACAATTTCTGCAAATATCAATATTTAAATAGATGAAAGCTGATGTGATCTACTGGCCAGGTGCTCAGACTGGAGCTTAGATCTGTATTTTATTTCTACCTCTGTTACTGAGGTCTGCAAGTCACTCTTTTTCAGCTGCGTCTCCTCCCAGTCTCCTGATTTATTTAGACTGTAAACTCTCAAGGGTCAGCACAACCCTGTCACCATTAGGAATTCAAGGCTGAGAACTAACACTTTCTCTCCCAGAAGTGTGAGCCAAAATCCAAACCGCATCTGCAAAAGGCTGTAAGATCTACTGAATGCTGCTCACAGAAGCAGAACACTTTTTAGAGACACAGATCTCCAGGCAGTGTTTCCTACATACACAGTGAAAGGAAGACAGGAGAAGAAACGGATGATAAAAGGGAAAGAGACTGTTCAAAGACCAACTTACGAGTGCAGGGCATGGAGGCAGCATCATTCTCAGCTCGGAAGAAGCCCCGATCGCAGGTGCAGGAGGTAGAGCCTTCCCAGATGGAGTAGCTGTGAGGCGGGCATTTGGCACAAGCAACATCTGTCGAGAGAGCCTTGTAGTATCCGATTTTGCAAGCTAGATGGAGGAACAGGAAGGGAGAGTGTTATTGGCCCAGGCTGTGATCATAAATTGCCGGCTTACTCATTCAAAATCAAGGCAGGAGACATTTCAAAGAGATCTAATGATGTCCTCTTAGCCCCAGGTGAAGAACTAACAATCACCACACTCTTAATGAGTAATCCTATGTCAGGGGATACTGATTTCTCATTCCAATAAGAGCCATTTTAAGCTGGCTTGGAGATGGCAAAAAAATTATACTCTATTGACACTGCCAGAAAATCAGCTGCCTCTTTGTGCTTACTGTGGAGTTGCATGTGGCTTAACCCATGTCCACCTGCACCCACACACACACACACAGAGCATGACAAATGGGGTGCTATTGGTTTATTCTATGACCACTTAAGGAATGGCAGCTGAGAGTCAGACACTGCCAATTTTTAAGAGGGAGTGGGACAGGAACTCCCTGCAATTGGCAGCGGGGCCCTCAGCCCAACATGCCCAGAAATGGCACATCTCCCTCCTGGCAAAGCAGAATTCATTTGGCTATTTCTCCCCAGGGGAGGAGATCAGCAGTGCTCTCCTCTCCTCAAAGCCAGGACATAACTGCACCACTGTCACCAGGTCCCATGGGCAGCTGGCAAGCTTTCGGTGACATCATTTTCACAAATGCAAAGCTTACACAAATGGCTACTTTTACCTCAGTTGGAAAAAACTCATTAGCATCATTAATAACATATTTTCATAGTGGCTAACAGGTATGTCATCCTAGAAATTTCTCTCTTGGCTATAGATAAAAGCCCACCATCACCACTCGCTTTTAGCACTACGCAGAAGAGAGAAAATTCCCAGGCACGCAAACCAGTAAAAAGGAAAGGTTGTTCCCAGTATTTACTGTGTGACTCACTCTCACATCTCGTCATTTATCACCTATGCTACCTTTAGGGTTCCCCTGCTATGCACAGACTCCTGTTGGGAGGGCACAGGCCCCCGCACAGCCAGGGCTCGCTCTTTCTGTTTCAACCTTTCCTTAGTCCTCCTTGTTCTTTCCCACCTTCTCTTACGAGGCCCTCCAATGGGAAATGGAGAAGGATATAAGTAAACTTTTCATTTTAAACATTTATAAAAGGGCAAGTTACTTCATTCTTATTAAGCAGAGCCTTTTATGGAATTTCCCTAACAAGTCCTAACTTTACGATGTGCCGCTGGGAGATCAGCCCTGTGTCGCTCGCTGGGGCTGTCACTGGAGCAGAGGACCTTGTAAAAGCACATTGCTCAAGTGACCAAGATTTATGCTTCCAGAGTTTACATGCATTGTGTTATTAGATAAGGTTCAACCTGCAAGGTGCTTTTTGGCCATGCTTCAAACAGCCTTGGGGTTTCAATTAAAATGAGCAACCACAGCTCTGGCAGGAAGAATCACAGGGGTCAAACCCAGCCTCCCCACATCAGAGACAATTAGGGCTTGAATACAAACCCACCACGGATGGCTATCAACCAGGCACTTGCACTATGGAAAGACAACTCCTGTAAAACAGCTTATTGTGCTTGTGAGGGGAACTGCCCAAAGAAAAAAAAAAAAACAAAAACAAAAACCAAAACACACACACAAAAGTAACCATGGGAAATAACCTTTCATTTTTTTCGTATAAATTGCAATATCTGGTGAGCGAGTTGTACTATCACTACATGTTCTCTTGTGCCTGGTTTAACAAGAGCAGCAGTCAAATGGCAGATGCTGATCTGAGATATTATTCCTGGTTTTCACTGTCACGGCTCAGATGAAAAATATGCCTAAGCCTGTATATGACCGGAACAGATACCCACAGGCAGAATCTTGCTGCCATATATAAAGACAAGGCTTTGGAAAGCAGAATACAAGAGGAAACCACACTGACTGCTCTTATCCACAAAATTCTTTCCATTATTCAACATTTTAAAAATTAAACATGTAAACTCTAATATTACTGTTAATACGAACATCATAGTTCACAGAAATTATTAAACAAAGAGCCATCTTTAGCATATTCCTGTTATTAAAATACTTAATAATCAACAACCTAGTACAAGACTGAAGATATTACTAGGGCTATAACATGCTGCTGGAAAGAAAAATGTCACAGGTAAATATTTTTGCAACCATTCCTCCTCCTCCCTGTCTTTTCAGACTCTGTGGTTTAAAAGGGAATAGATGGATTCAGTGGGTACTGCAAGGTCAACGCTCTATAACTCGAAGATTTTTATCCCCTCATTTCATGCACTGTATTTTGTTTTCTACTATAATAAGCCAAGATCATTAATATTTCAAGACCTGAAGAAAGCTCTCCAAACACAGTAGTTGCTCCTTAAGCACACACAGCCATTTTGCTTCAAAAATCACCTACTCCTGAAGAGAGTTTCCTTCATTTTAGTGTGCTCAGAGATTCACCACATTTCATAACAAACATAAAAGGGCATTAGAGAATGTGCTGCATTAAACCAGTAGTTCTTTGCCCCCAAGAGCTCCATGGTACCGTCACTTAAAAACTCGAACCTAATCCTGTAAAAGCTGTTCTTAGCATGAAGTGCTGCTGACACACCTATTACAACCAGTGCCTGTTAAGGCTATGGATGGGCTTTTTTTGAAGGTTAATGATTTAGTAGGCAAACAAGAAGTCTGTACAGAACCTGTTCCCTGGAAGTCTTTATTGCTTGCTCATGACAAATCTTCACGCGGCTGCTTTTCTAGGAAGGATTTGCTGGGTGAGACCCAGCATGAATGGGGTTCTTACACAGTTTTCGAAAGATGCCATTGTAAAAAGATTAGTTCACATGTGCAATGCAAACTTTGAGTTCAATTTCTTAGCTTTGCCTTAATTAGCTCTTTCTGTTAGGGTTTTTTTTTTTTAAAAGAAGGAAAATCTTTTCTCACATTCAGATCACCCACTAGCATAACACGGTTACAATCGACTCCACTGGATTCAAGGGAAATTTTTAAATCAAGTATTTTCAGCTCACAGTTTTTCCTCAGAACAAATCCCATTGATTTTAAATGGACATCAGCTTGAAATAATCATGCTGATGTCTTTGAGTTATAATATTAAACTCTATTTGATTTCTATTTCTATTAAAGTGAGACAGGATTTGGCAAACATTGCTGGTCATTATTACATGTCTTTTTCCTTCTTTTTTTTTTTGAAATTTACCAGAGTTATACATGTTAAAACTGCAAAAATTGCTCTGAAGAATTATGGAACTCCAGTCAAATCTAGATGTAATTTTTCTCAAGCTGTTTTTCAAACTCCATTTTCTCATTAAAACCTGACTTTCAGATTCATGGCTTCCTGAAAAAAAAAAAAAAAAAAAGAAAGAATAAATGTGTGGGCTGGAGAGTCTGTTTGCTTGGTCTCTGCAAATGCTGAATTTTCTATTAGAAAATTTCAGACAGCAATTTAAGAATTCAAAAATTCATCTTATAATGGAGGGGGCTCTAAGCACATTCTTTTTTAACACAAGTACAACAAAATATACATATTCAATTGGTTTTGACCATTTTTAAATAAGCTGTGGTGTTTCTTATATTGGGTATGGGGGAATCTTTAAAAAATTTTTCTTGCAAATTTAAAGTTGTTGAAAAAAACCCCAGTACCTCCTTTTAAATTTTTCCTTTATTATTGTGGAAATGGCAATGAATCATTCCATCATATATTGGAAAAGGCTTGGCATGCTTAATAGTCCTTTAAAAAAAAAAAGTATAATGTCTTATAAAGGGTTGGATAAAGAAATCATCCCAACCTCTTTGTTGAAAAGTCCCTAAATAATTAAAAATGCAGTGCATATCTTAAAAACATCTCAGGGAGCTCCAAGCAGAGACTTTGGTAGTGCTGTGAAGGCAGCGCTTGGTTCCTCACTCAAGGAGAATGAGCAGGATCTGAGGCAGGGTAGGGAGAGACCCTGGATCCCGGCAGGGCTGGTCAGGCTCTGAACAGTGACAGGATGGGGAAGGTCCAAGCAGGCCAGCCCTGAGCTGAAAACTGCTGGGCAGGAGCTCGGGCAGCAGCCCTGGCAACCAGGGACCAAGGCCAGGAGAAACATCCTACCTGAGCCTCAGCCTCTGCTGATGAGGAGAACTTGCAACTGAGAAAATACTGATTTCCATTAGAAGCTAATCAATAGGGTGAAAAACAAGCACAGAAACGTGGCTTTGCCCAAGTAAATCTAGTTAAGTCAGTGAACTGATAATAGAAGAAAATTTGGCATAGATGTTCTGAAGTGTTTTTTTACAGAAAGCCCAGTGGGATGCAGTCCTTCACAGGCCAGCATCACTGGCTAAAGAGCCATTGCCTTAGAGATCCCTGTGCCAAGGGCTTAAGTCTCCACACGAACACCACAAGGAAAGGGCCCTCAACCAGGTCAGGACCACAACCAAACAGAAACCACGTTCCTGCTGCACCCTCCTGCCCAAAACGGACCTACCTGTGCACCACCAACAACATTTATTATCACAGGCAAGTGAGTACTACAGCTAAAATCTGTGGAGTTGGCTGAAATTTGAAGCAGGAAAATGTATTAGCTACATGCTCAAAAAAACCTCAAAATTCCTTGAGATTTTGAATCAAATCTCCCTCTACACACAACAGAAGAGGGAAAACTTCTTTTAAGTCAATAACTGTAGCCAAGTTTAAACAAAGATCCTAAAATAGTACCCTTGGTGAAATGAAGGACAGAGCAAATAATTTAATAAGAGATATTTCAATGTCAGGCTTATAGATTTCAGTGAGAAAAGAAATTTGTGTTTAAAGACTTGAAAAAATACTTTGATAGCATATTTGATGTCTTTCATCACTGGTTACTTTTTCTTCAGCTCTTCTCTCTCTGGAAATATTTTAAGCTCATGTTTTAACTGCACCCTTAGGAACAAAAAGTTACTTTTATTTTTCCCCTTGAATGTTGTTCTTAGTCTTTAAGAGGATGGATTTTCTCTCTTGGATTGTAACAAAACCACATCTGCCACATAAGTAGGCAGCATCTTCTCAGCT